CATTTGTTATGGCTTTAGGTTGCTGTCGATTTTTACCGTGTTATCGATCGATTACAGTGACACGTAAACACGTACGGACGGCCTAGAGTCTCGATTGGTCCCACTTCCCTGTCCAGCCCAGCCAGTTGAGTCCAGAACACAAGCCACAGCCTCGGAGATATGAATCATTATATTTCAAACATACTTTGTTTATATACCAACCAAGCATACCACATCGTACCATAGAATAGAAAACAACATTTTGTACAATGTTCAACAAGTGAACAGATATCGACCAATAGGAAATGTCCATTTAAAGTCCAAGGACACCATTGGACTTAACATGATAATTATTGGTCTATTCCTCTGCATCCACAACACCATTTATTCCAATATCAAGAAAATTATGGTGATATGGTTTTGTAAATGATTTGAATTGTTTATTTTGCTTAGTGTTTTTTGTTTTGTTTTAGCAAAGTTGTTTTTTAAGGGATGAGGTCACTGATCACATGTTCAACTCTCCTCATTTACCTGAGCTTGGTATCGGTAGTAACCCTAGAAGAGCTACAGACGTAGTTGTTCTATGTTCTACTTTGGAAGATTTGAGAGGAAGAACAAGTGTCGATAGACTGGTAAGAAGTTCATCTCATCAATATACTAAAGAAAGGAGATTTGAGCAAATGTGAGAACTACGGAAGAATTACACTGCTGTCAGTACTAGGAAAAGTTTTTGACGGAGTGTTGATGAATTGGGTAAAAGATTCAGTAGATGCCCAACTTCGAGATCAACGGGCTGGATTCCGTAACGATTGGTCGTTCACAGACCAAATTGCGACATTACGGATCATCGTTGAGCAATTAGATGGATGGAACTCGTCACTATACATCAATTTCCTTGACTGAGAGAAAGCATTTGTTAGTGTGGATAGGAGGGCTTTATTTAGACCTCGTCGATACTATGGTGTACCTGGGAAAACCGTCAACATCATCCGGAATTCATATGACGGAATAAACTGCAAGGTGATGTATGGAGGACAGTTGACAGACTCATTGCAAGTGAGGACCGGAGTCAGACAAAACTGCTTAAAATCTTCCTTCCTCTTTCCTTTGATGGTTGACTGGATTATGAAGACCTCGACATCTGAGGAAAGACACGGAATACGATGGATAGCTCGAAATCACTTAGAAGATTTGGACTTCGCAGACGAACTGGCCCCTCTATCCCGTACACACGAACAACTGCAGATGAAAATAAAAAGTGTAGCATCAGCCTCTGCAGCAGTAGGCCTTAATCTACACAAGGGAAGAAGCAACATCCTCAAATACAACACGGAGAACATCAACCCAATGAAACTTGGTGGAGAAACTGTGGAAAAGGTGGAAAGTTTCACTTATCTGGGTAGCATCATCGATAAACAGGGAGGATCTGATGCAGACGTGAAGGCTAGAATTGGCAAAGCAACGACAGCATTCCTACATTTAAAGAATATATGGAACTCAAAACAACAGTCAAACAATATCAAAGTCACAATCTTCAATACGAACGTCAATACGGTTAGTCATATTGTATGGAGCTGAAACTCTGAGAACTACCACAACCATCACCAAGAAATTACAAGTATTTATCAATAATTGTCCACGCAATGTAGTGAGTGTCCTTTGGTTGGATACCATCAGCAACGCCCTACCATAGGAGACAACAAACCAACTTCCAGCTGAACAGGAAATTAGGAAAAGACGCTGGAAGTGGATAGGACACACATTGAGAAAATCATCAAAGTACATCAAGAGGCAAGTGCTAAATTGGAATCCTGAAGAAAAACGGAGAAGATTAATATCAAAGAGCACATTACATCAGGAATTCGAAGCAGATATTAGAAGAATGAATAGCAACTGGAAACAAGGGGAAAAGATTGACCAGGATAGGTTTGAATGTAGAACTCTAATGAGCGGCCTATGCTCCACCACGAAGGGTAACATGCGTAGTTAAGTAATATTTTCGTAGGAGAAAAGTGACCTTCTTTATAGATAAAATCATAATATTGAACGTGTTTATAAGATCACAGGAATCGTTAATTACATTATGAAATCTAGTGAACCTTGAATGTAACAAACGCCTAGTAAATTATCTTTTAAACATAACCATTCTTACGAAATAGAATTTTAATACTTTAAGCTATCAGTTACACACAAACTAGGCTCTTGGATTACATAGAAAGTATTCAATACAGATTACATTTGTAAAATCTTTAGTGATTAAGATTAATCTATAATTTACGCAGGAAAAAGTGGATTCTTAATTTGTTTCTTTGCTCATAAAAATTTACCCAAATGTGTATTAAACATACCAGTAGACTAACTTGTCTTGAATTGGTTGATTTCAGTATAAGTGATAGTGTAGTGAACGAGAACACAAATGGGGAGGGGCATTGATTGTATTTGAACACACAGAATATCTCACTAAAATCTGAGGACCATACAGTGAATACTCAATTTGTAAAATGTCAATCAATTGTCTCAAACTGAACTGTTCCCTTTGTAAATATCAGTCAATCGTCTCAAACTTTATTATTCCTACATTTCCATACCAATTGCTTTCCATTCCCTTTCCTTCTCGATCTTCTACTGACAAACATTTTATTTCTGATTTTCATTATATACTACTCACGTCGATATAAGTAGCACACAACATAGTAGTTTCAATGTTCTGATTTCCTACTATTTGATATGATTTGAAATAGTTCTATCAACTTTATTCCCATTAGTTGATGCGTTTTATAAGCTCATACTTATTAATAACAATTTAGGAGATTAATAGCACTAATCTTAAACAGATGCCATTGTGTTTTACCATTTATGTAATTAATCTTTGCTATAAGTATAGATTAAATTCATATCTAATTTGACATTTATTTAGGTTTATAGTATTATAAATAAAATTATCTTGTACTATTATCTTATGTCAATCAAATTAATTAATTTGTTTTATTGGGTTTGAATCTCGCGGAGTGAGATTGTGGATGAGGAGTCCCATACTGGAACGAAACAGCTATCCAGTGCTTCCAGGTTTTCCATGGTAGTCTAGCATCAATTGACACATGAATTCAACAATTAAACTACTATAATATCCACAAAAACTTCTTCTGATACTAATCAGTATTTGCTCACTAGTGACTGGCTTCAAGAGGTATTTCCTCGAGTTCTAGTGAGAAGCCGTGACCAGTAGAATTCAACCGGTTCTGTTGTGAGATAGTAACTCACTGAAGACAATAGTGGATGGTGGCGCAACTTCGTGGATTAGTTATTTTATTATTATTATTATTATTATTATTATATTATAGCTTTATTCAACATTATATTTTTGGTACAACATAGAATTCTCAGCATAAAGTATTTCAACAAGTTTCCTTTTCTTATACCTTGATCTATTGTGACGACAAATTTTGAATGATGACCGGTTAGATGTTAGGAGTTCGGTAATCCACATTTGATTAATGTTCATTCGTTTCAATGCATATTGCCAGCCACCATGATGTTGCTGATTGTACCTTTTTGTATCACGTATAGCGAAAGGTTGTAAACTTTTCATAAACGCGCCTGAATAAATTGTGAGCACAATAGACATAATGATGTGCTAAAACAAACAACAAAACAGATAACTTGATGAAATATCTAGATCGGAGGAACAGGAACAGGTAGCCCAGATATTCAAGCAGGCCGCCAAGTTGTTGAATTCAGACATTAAAACCTTTCGATGCCAGCTTGGTAATTCAGTTGTTAAGCGCTTACGCTTGAGACTGATAGGTCCTGGATTCAAATCTCGTGAGGCGAAATTGTAGATGTGTACTACTGAAGAGGACTCTTATACTAAGCTGAAACAGCCGTCTAGTGCTTCCAAGTTTTTCATGGTGGTCTAATTTCAATTGACTCATGATCTCAACTATTGAACTTACTATAATATCCACAAAACTCCTCTCTTACTATCCTATTTTCTTTATGTTTACATTGTTCGTGAATGTGTTTTTTTTTTAAAAAAAACAACCGAAATACTCAATGGGATAAGGTTTAGTTTTGTTTATATAATTTATGTTGTCTTATGGTGATATAATTTATTCATTCATTCAGTAGTATTAGCAGTAGTATTAGTAGTAAGATTTCAATTTTCTTTATATTTAATATGCTCTATTGTTGTTGTTGTTTTTGTTTATATACAAGATTGAATTATGGTTTTCTATAGGGATAGAATTTATAATTATCATTTATTTATGGTTAAATGTCATTGATCATGTTATCGGTGATTCTATTGTGAAGCTACTGAGTTTTTTTAGATACATGATAATAATAGTTCAGATCATGAGTTAATTGAAGTTAGATCACCATAAAAAACAACCTGGTGGAAGCATTAGATGATGGTTTCATCCTATTGTGAAGTTCTTCAGTAGTGATTGACTTCAAGAGGTATTTTCCTGGAATTCTAATGAGAAACAATGATCAAGTGGAGTTCAACCGGGTCTATTGTGAGATAGTAACTCATTGAATATAATAATGGATATATTGCTCAATTTCGTGGATTGGTTAAAGTTTGTTATTACCATCAATGGATGCTAGTTCAATAGTCTAAAGGTTAATTATTCATGTATGAGACTGATAGGTTCCAGATTCGAATCTCACAAAGGCAGGATTGTAGATGTGTACTGTTAAAGAGTTTTACACTAAGACGAAACAGTCATCCACTGCTTCCAGGTTCTCTATGATGGTCTACTTTCATTGGATTCATAATCTAAACTATTGAAAAATAATGATTTGGTGATGATAATTTAGATCATGAAACTAATCCAATTGTGTATTTTATTTAAAATGATTGAATAATTTTTCAGGTTGGTGTTAAATCTGGTGGTCAGTACTACTGTGATCATGTTAGTGACATAATTAGTTACTAGGTGGACTACATATCAAACTTTAGAAGTGGATGTAAATTTTATTTTACTATTTTTTTCGTTGTTTTTTTTTTTTGGTTTTAGATTGAATTTTTCAATATTGTTCAAGCACCAATTATGTTAAATGAACAAGGAATTTATTTAGTGACTTATCCAGATCAACGACCAACTGGTGATGCATTTATTCTATTTTCTAATGATAATATAGCAACTAAAGCATTAACACGTCATAAAGATTATTTAGGTGATAGATATGTTGAATTATTTAAAGCATCACCATCTGAAATGGTTCAGGTAGTTGTTATGGTTATATATGTATTTTTTTTTCTATAATAGTTACTAAGTATTCTATTACATGTGTATTGTAATCTATATCTTTGAATAACTATCAAAGAACTATCATTATTATTGAGTCTTCTTACAAACAAACATTTGTCGAACCAAATTTTCTCTCTATCAATTGTGGTGATAGTTTAAAGTATTTGAATGATTGTACGAACTAGGAATTCCTAAAATAACAAGATTCAAGCCAAAAAGAACTACGAAAGAACAAATGGCTGAGAGTGAGGAGAATCAGCTCTCCATATTGAAATATAGCTACTACCAGCGAAGTCCCACTCATTACATCACTGTTGTTTATGAAACTGAGAGGAAGAAAAGCGAATGTCCAGCTCTTTAACCAGGTTGGTGGGTATGGAAGATCCACCTTAGGGAGTTGGAAAACCCTCATTCCAAACCAATGGTGCACACGAGCTCCAAGATCCTAAGAAAGCAAATGGAGTATGAACGAATTATTAGTCACCGGTTACTATGGGATTGCATCTCCATAAGTTGCTCCACTTCCTTGTAGATTAGACTTTCAGGTCGAAGGTTCCGGATATGGCCACTTAAGGAAACCACCTACTTCGGTTTGGGTACCCTGGCAATATCATACACAAAAATCAAGTGACTTATGTGGTGCATATGTGTTTGGCGCCCCTTTGTGCCAATATTTATGTGTTCAAATAAATAAATAAATAATTTAGAATTCAAAATCGAGCATTCACCAAGTACAAAGGAATCGTTAGTTCATATAAACACTACAGTTGTATATCTATTCTTTAATTAAAGACAGAAAAATATCATAGACAATACTTCAGTATCAAATATCTTTATAACAAACTAATACAGACTTACCTGATTATTGGATAAACTATTCTGATGTCAGAAAATGGTTTTAGATCATTGATATGCTTTAGTGCAACTGATCTAGTTACTTGACTGGAGTTTGAAAGGTCAGTCAATTACAACGTAGAACCAGGCACATACATGCATCGGTTCAAGTTGCCACACCTCATTATCACAGCAAGATAAACACCGGATTCATAGAAGCAGTTAACTCAATGGTGTAATATATAAAAGGAAAGATTTTATGTAAGCTCCATTTCTTAGATCAATATAACTGATGGTGTGTTAGCATCTACCATACCACCAGGTAATCATATAATTGTCTATGTTAAGGATTATAAAATAAAGTTAAAAGTATGAATGAGAATGGTAAGAAGAAATGAGATATAGGGTATGACATGAGGAAAGTAAGATTAAAAATCTTATGTAAGTCCTACCTCATATATTCATCAGCTTAAAACGAACACTATGTGAAAGTGGGTTTAATAGTTTAACCTACTGTTGAAATAATTTACATGAATAGTTATGGTGACATCGGTTGATATTGGCATTTCAGATATGACAAATTCATCTGTATGAAAAAGTGAAGCATTGTTTGAGTATTTACTTTGTAATGAGCAATTCTCCTTAGAGTAAACTTTCGGATTGTGATTACAGAATTTCTGTAGGCATTTTTGGACAGTGATTCAGATTACTTAACAATCTACAAACCTTAATAAAAACCCCTCTGATCGCTCTATAAAGGAACGAAAATATGATGTATGAAGCACACACACGCATACACATCAACTAAGCCGATGTTCCTCCACGAGGAGTAACAGACGTAAGTAAGTAAGTAAGGAAGTAAGATAATTTGGTGAGGAAGTTGTATTGTGCTACCAATCAGATTTGTACTAGTTTACTATGCTTTTTTCTCAGTGGTCTATTTACTTTATTTTTATTTTCGGCCAGGTTTGTCATAATGTAACACTATTTCAGTGTTCATCATCTGGACAAAAAACACATTCAGCCTTATCGAACATCCAATCTAATGGAATTATAGGTGTACCATTAATAAATGGAGGAACACAAATCAACTGTTCTAACCTAGTCAATTTTGTAAACAATAGTAATACTAACAGTAATAATAACAAGGAAACTTATTTAAGCCCAGCTCTTACACATTTGAAATCGGCTATCAGTACTGGAGCCCTATCAAATGTACAAAATCTATGGAATTCTGGCACAATCCCTTTGGGTTTATCACATAACTTATTAACATCAAGTGGAACAGGATTGAATTCATCTGGCTTAAACGAGAATGTATTATTAAATAATACATTAGGAGGTATATCACCATCTATACCAATGATCTCACCAAACAATACTTCAGTGAATCTTAATCTTTTACCAAATATACCTATTACAAATCCACTCATACGTGACCTAACTGATCCAACAGATCCTGATTGTCCATTTGCAAGACCAATGCCAATTGGTGGTGCATGTGCTATGGTTCAGTTGAATGAATTGCCCATGGAAACATCCAGGCATGATATTCGATTGTATTTGGGTCCAGCTAATTTTGCAAAGGTTTATCGTATGAGAAGGATGGTAATTATTTTGCATTATTTACTAAATGGTTTTATTTAATAATATGTTTATCTAATGAATCTAGATGAACGAAACCCATTTGTATTCAATATCCCTGATAGTACAATCAAATGAACAGTTCAGTCATTTTAGTTCCATCTAAATTGTCGTTAAGTTTATTATGATCCTTAGTTTAAATAATATACCTGAAGCCATCAGAATAGAGGTTTACGGAAACGAACAAATGTTATTGACATCATAGATCAAGTTAGACATACATTAACATTCAGGAAGTATTCAACGGACGTTTTGTCCTAGCATGGAACTCCTTGACAGTGTGTACACACGTATTCACCAGGGATCTAACTCTGGACCTTCAATCTTGTATGTGAGTACTCAATCTTTAAACCAGTGAGAAGAAATCTAACAATATGAGTGTTTAACTCCAGTTAATTGGCTACATTGAGTGACCATCTTTCATTGTCTTCAGCATGTGTATTCGTTACATCCAACACGTTTGAACTGGTTTTCAATAGATGTCTAACTTGAAATGGCTTGTGATATCAATAGTACCTAACGTTTTTAACCCAGACTTTGGTATTTTAAACAACATAAACTGAAGATACATCTAATATTAAGAGTCAGTAAAAGAAAATTAATAATGATGTTGTCTTTTTTATTATTTACAATTGAAATGATATTGTAGTGAATGAGAACTTAAGTGGACATAATTGAATGTATTTGAACATACAAATTACATAATCTCTTGGTAAAATCTGAGAACTATACAGTGAAGACTTACGCCTGTTACTCCTAATGGAGCATAGGTCGCCGACCAGCATTCTCCAACACATCCACTCTATCCTGGGCCTTTTTTTCTAGTTCCATTCAATTCTTGTTCATTTTTCTCATGTCTATCTCCATTTCTCGGCGTAATGTGTTCTTTGGTCTTCCTCTTTTCCTTTCGCCTTGAGGATTCCATGTGAGGGCTTGTCTTGTGACGCAGTTGGATGCTTTCCTCAATGTGTATCCTATCCACTTCCAGCGCTTCTTCCTGATTTCCTCCTCCGCTGGAATCTGGTTTGTTCTCTCCCACAGTACGTTGTTGCTAATAGTGTCTGGCCAACGGATCCGAAGTATTTTGCGTAGACAACTGTTAATAAACACCTGTATTTTCTGGATGATGGCTTTCGTAGTTTTCCAGGTTTCCGTCTCATACAGTAGAACTGTCTTGACATTTGTGTTGAAAATCCTGACCTCGGTGTTGGTTGACAGTTGCTTTGAGTTCCAGATGTTCCTCAGTTGTGAATATGCTGCTCTTGCTTTGCCGATCCGCGCCTTCACATCTGCATCAGATCCACCCTGTTCATCAATGGTGCTGCCCAGATATGTAAAGGTTTTTACATCTTCCAAATTTTCTCCGTCAATTGTGATTGGATTGGTGCATGCTGTGTTGTATCGGAAAATCTTGCTTTTCCTTTTGTGTATATTGAAGTAAAGATGTATGGTGGCTAGCAATGGAATCCAGGACGCACGTTTTGTCTTATTTAGGACACGTCAGTTGGATGTTCACTTTGGGACTTGAGCTCAATGAATATCAATGCTGGGATGCAGGTATATCCAACTGACGAGCCGCAAATAGGATGAAATGCGCGTCTTAGATTCCACTGTTAGCCATCATCCAACCTATGTAGTATTTAAAATAAAAGTAGACAAACTCAGCTAAGTGCATAGAGATCCTCAACTTAACCGATGTGCTTACTATAACAGTGTTTGCTAATTGAAATAGAATAAAACTAAAGAAATTACTACAGTAAATACGAAAAAATGATACAGTGCCCATATTCATGAAGTGCATATTGTTGATTATAAACAATGGCATTAAAACACAACTTTTTATGCTTAAAGAATTCAGCGTTTTGAAAATAGTTTCCGTCAGTCAGTCAGCTATAACGCAGGACCAGGTACATATATGCATCGGTTCAAGTTGCTTCAGTGCCCAAGGGACAGTTGCTTGACGTCGATCACACACAACCATTTTTTGAGTAATTTTCGTGTTAACTCCGTACTTATTGTAACCTTACCGTCGAATACGGCAATCCGTAGGATAAGGTGAGATATGCATTTTTATGGTCGACATTTTTAACCCCCTCTGCTTGTGAGAAGGCAACATCGCTGTTATACCGATTGTTTGAAGGAAACACTCAACTGCTATCAAACTTCTTTACAGTCACCAGTACAACTTCGCCTTCGAACTTCGAGTTTGCTACGTTCTTAGTCTTACCGCTCTTCAACTGACCTGTCTGATATGGTAGGACTTTGGGAAACGAATATTTCACTCAATATAGCTCTATTATTTTATCACGATAGGCATACCCGACCGACCGAGAGATGATAGCAACCGGTGGTTAGAGGCCTTGAATGACATGGCTCAAAATCGTTTGCGATGGCGCAGGTGCATCCACTCCTTTGTGTTCCCCCAAATTCTAATCTTCCGAATTCTTCATGTCCCTTCTTTTTTTCTCTTTCCAAATTGATTCCACTGGATTATACTTTTTGAATAACGTCTTCAAACTCTAATCTTTCCGATTACTGCTCAAACTCTTACTACCTCTACCACTACGGAATTTGAATCGACATCTGTATCTCTGTGCTAATATGGTGTAGCAAATCGAATTAATGTACGTACGTACGAAGTTCTACGTTGTTACTGACTGATTGACTAACACCCGACCACTACATCAAGGTAGCAACAACAACAACAACGGTCAATAGTTTCTAACATTGATAACAGAATATTCAATGTTTTGAGAAACTAACAGTCACAGTATGGATAATTCTCTTTTTTTTTTTTTGATTTTTCAAGGAAACTATTCCAAACAACACCACCACCACCACCAACACTAACGACAATAATCATACATCATCATGGTTATTATCATTAAAGAATATAACTGAAGCTATTCAATTTATTCATGATTTAATTAGTAGACCATTTACTATTACTACATTATATAGAAATAATCAACAATTTAAAGTATTATCCAATATTCCAACATTTGCATTATATAATATTGATAATAATGGTAAATTATCAATTATTGATTTATCAAATATAACATATAATATACCAATACATAGAATCCATATGGCATCATTATTAAAATGGAATAGATCAAATCATTCCAATTACAATTGGTCAAGATCAACAATAAAATATCCGATTAAAACAAAAATGAATGATCAACATATATTCAATGGTAAGTTATTGAGAAATGACATAGTTGAATAATCATTGCGATATATACATATATATTGTGATGTCAGTCAATCAGTTTCGTGTGCTGTTACGAGTATGAGGGCTGATGTCACTTCCCGGCTGCCCACATCGTGGAAGGGTATTTCTTGAGGAACCTGAAATAAAAGTTGGATTAATGTTGACCTTAACGACCTGAGAGCGTGACCTCAGAGTCCAAGGGACAACTGCTTGAGGCCGGTCGTGCACGGTCTTTTTGTGGGAGGTTTTGAATGTGTTAGCTCCGTTCTTCAAAGGGCCTCACCGCGGAGACGGAAATCCGTGAGATAAGGTGAGGTGCGCATTTTTAGGGTCGACCTTTTCTAACCCCTTCCTTCCTTGTGAGAAGACAGCATCGCTGCAGACGCTGGTTGTCCGAGGGAAACACCTTACTGCTGTCACATTCCTCTACAGTCAGCAGTACGACTTCGCCGTCAGACCTTGAGTTGCTATTTTTGGTCTTACCGTTCTCCAATCGACCTGCCTGGCATTGTAGAAGCTACAGGAACATATATTCCAGCCAATATATCTCGGTTGGATCATTACGATAGGCAAGCCCGACCACCGCGTCAAGGTAGCAGCTACGGTCGGGATATTGTGATGTAAACTACTTATATCTGTTGTCATCAGTAGTATATTATGATAATCAGTTACAGAATGTATTTTAGTAAAAGACTAAAAAGGAATAAAAGGCGGGAATAGAAAGCAATCGATATGAAAATACAGGAACAATAAAATCTGAGACGATGGACTGATATTTACAAAAGGAATAGTCAAATTTGAGACAATTGGTTGATATCAAGTATTCGCTGTATGGTGTACTGTAATTTTTTGTTCAAATAAATTAGATTGTCTCCACTCGTGTTTGTGCTCACTACAATAACATTCTTTAGTATATATGTATACCCTTATACGTGTATTGGTTTGTTTATGAAAAGGTTATTTAATGAGTGAAAGCAAAAGATAGATCTATAGAGTTGTTTTTGTCTTAAAGTCATATTTATGAAATGGATTATAATCTTAGAAGAAATAAATATCATCGATTTATAGAAAGAAGGGTTTAAATGTTGCAGTTGTTAATATTCAGGACCTGGATCTCACAGTGAGACTTGAATCTAGTATATTTAGCTCCATACTCCAAGGTATTAGGGATGCTACCCCTAACTCAGGGTCTGAAAAGTCGGAAAAATGAAAATTTCACCAATGCGATAAAAATGATCTTGGTGGTCTGGTAATAGTATTTCGACACCAGACAATTGGTTTTAAGCGTTATTTTAGGCCTAACGCTTCAGGCTGGGCTATTTCGTTTACTACCCTATATATGTGTTGTATGCAGTATAAGCTATATGGCTATGTAGAGCTGAAGGTCTCGTATGAGACTGGAGGTTCATCATTGATATTGCGGATGGTTCGGCATTGCTTTGGCAGGTTTTTCTGATTGTTCATGCACAAAATTCGTTTGCTGGTTAACTGATTTCATTCATACTGGTGGTTGCTTTTCAGTGTTCTCAAGGTCCATTATGATTGGGACATTGTAAGTTATGTCGCTATTGCTAACATCAATGAGTTTGACTATCGTGTGAGCGGAATAGGTGAACTTTGGTCTGTTCGTGCTGTGTGTAATTGATTCATGCGACCATTGGTCGTAATAACTATACATGTGATGTGAATGTGTATAAGAATGTTGCGAATGTTCCACCAATGTGCTTATTACCTGTGTGGTTGTGCGACAGGATTGAACTGTATTATTCGGATTGTAGCGTTGAAGCCAATATTGTGTCTGGTTCTCCTGTGAAGCGGGATTGAGCTGTACTGTTCGGGTTGTCACGTGAAAGTCTGTATGGTTTGGTGTCTGGTTCTCCTGAAAACCAATGTAAAATTACCCTGACCCACAAGGGTATTTTATATAAACGATACCTTCAGGGCATTAGTTACTGATCTAGCGAGTACATATTTACTGAACGAGAACACGAAATCGGGACAATCGAATGTATGGTATGAATATTTGGTAACTAGATTATGTATATTTATATTCCTCTTATTATAAGCCTTATTTTGACCTATAATTTATTATTGTACGATTTACGGTTCTTAAACTAGGTTCAGTTTATTGACTACTGCCTCCCACGTTCACAGCCACTTTTTGGTTTGTTTGTGTATAAATGTTATTTCCTATTTTATGGTGGTCTGTTTGGTTGATATATAAACCCAGTATGTCTGAAATAAATGATTCGATTCGATTCGCACATTGGAAGCTCGTATTGGTGTTCTGGACTGAAGTGGACGGGCTAGGCGGATATAGGACCAATAAAGACGCTAGGCTGCCCATACCGGTCGAACGTCATTGGTTTGGCACAGTGCTGAGATTGTATAATTCATATTTTGATTGGTGGATAAATCACGTGATAAAAAGCCGGACATAAAGTCAAAACACTGGACAGTTGGGATTAGACGTTAACACTGTTAGATGCCCGCTTAATTGTCTATAGGTTAAGCGTTCGCATGATAAACCAATAGGTCCTGTGTTCAAATCCCATGAAAAGAGGGATCATGGATATACACTGTTGAGGAATCCCATAATAAGACGAAACAGTCAACAGATCTTTTCAGATTTTCTATAATGATCTAGAACTTCAATTCATTCATGAATTCAATTACTAAATAATTATGAGTCAAGTGAAGCTAGATCACCATGGAAAACCTGGAAGCACTGGACGGTCGTTTCGTCCTAGTATGGAACTCCTCAGCAGTGCGCATCCACGATCCCGCCCCCCGCGAGATCCGAACCCAGGACCTATCGGTTTAGCGCCAGGCGCTTAACCAACTAGACCACTGAACCGGCATCCAACAGTGTTAATGTCTAACTTCAACCAATCCACGAATTTGAGCCACCGTACACCATTGTCTCCAGTGAGCTGATATCTCACAACAGACGTGGTTGAACTCCTTTGGTAACGACTTCTCACTAGAACTCCAGGAGTGTCTCCTGAAGTCAGTCACTAGTGAGAAGGTGATTATTATTATCATCAAAGCTGAAGTACCATTTATTTTTATCTGATTTCATTTCAGCAATCACTTCACCAATTCAATTATCAGATACAAATTTACCTATTAAATATACATCTTCATTCATAAAAAATTACAATATAGATAATTATATTCATTCAATCTCTAGTCTTAATCTTTCTCCAACAATAGTTACCAACCATGATTATGAAAGTTTATTGATTCCTTCATCCAATTCCATATTATCTAACAATGTAGATCATTCAAATGTTTTATTAGATTATAAAACTTTATCTTATTTAAATACTCAATCAAGATATAATTTGCCAAATCTTACAGCATCAATGGTTATGTTAACAGGTTTACCAATTGATGTAACACAAGAAGAACTTGAATCATTATTTAAACCTGTTAAAAATCTATTGACGGTTAGTTCCTGTGAATTGACTTTAACTTTATGTTTACTGTAAATTTATTATTGAATGTTTTTTTTCAATGGTTAAGATCATGAATCAGTTGAAGCTAGACCATCATGGAAAACCTGGAAGCACTGGACGACCGTTTCGTCCCAGTGTGGGACTCCTCATCAGTGCGCATCCACGACCTCGCCCTCTGTGAGATTCGAACCCAGAACCTAATGGCTTCACGCGCGAGCACTTAACCTCTACACCACTGAGTTGGCATCCCGACGATTTCAATATCTAACTTCAACTAATCCACGAAAATGAGCGACACATCTACCATTGTCATCAGTGAGTTATTATCTCACAACAGACCTTGTTGAACTCCACTGATCACTGCTTCTCATTAGAACTCCATGAAATATCTCTTGAAGCCAGTCGCTAGTGAGCATATATTGAATAATATCAGATGGGTTTTGTGGATATTATAGTAATTTCAATGGTTAAGATCATGAGTTTTTTTTTATCAGAAAGTATAAGTTCTCCTGGATCATTCAACCTACATAGTATGTACCTTTATGAAGGTCATATCGAATTTCATAGAATTTATGTATTAAAAAATCATTTGTCTACAATACCAGTGAAGGTTAAGATACTCTAATATCTAATAAAAACTGAATCAACAGTTAGATAATACAAAATGACTTAGTATATAATTATGAAATATGTCTATTTAAGGTGGAATATTGAACGCAATGTGTTAAATAGCATACAATTCTTTTATATTATGAAGTTATAAAGTAGTTGTCACTATTGATTAGTTTTCATATCACTGAGAAATTCACATGGGTATTGCTTGCTTGTGTCTTTCTATTGTTGGTTTTTAGGACTACAGTTGATCAGTCTCATATTGACATATATGCATTCTATGAGGATCGCCTTAATTCACAAGTTTTATAAGCAAAGATGGATGGTGGTTAGCCATTGAATCCAGGACGTGCGTTTCGTCCTATTTGGAACTCGTAAACTAAATATACCGACATTCCAGAGTTGAAAAAGGTACATCCAACTGGGGAGTCCCATACAGGACGAAACGCACGTTTTTCGAAGTCCCTGATTGTGACACAGTCGTAGGAGTATTTGCTTTCTATATCTGTAGTCTGCCAAAAGAGAAAATTGAGAGGACAGATTCATCAGATCACATTTTTCACTGATCACTCATCTCTCTTTGATAAGTTTGCTTATCATACTATTAGTTCAATCACCGTTTATATATATATATATATATATATATATATATATATATATATATATATATATATATATATATATATATATATAGAAAAATATAAACACAAACTGTTTTTTAATACTGAAAATAACTGTTATTTAATGTGAGTTTTGTATGGATAAGCTCTACTTAAAAAGGAGATACTTTAGGTATATAAGTCACCTTTAACAATACTGCCTTAGTGTTTTGTAACAGTTCTCATTAAATCACTAACTGACCAATCACTCTATCAGCAGTAATTGAAGAAACAAAGAAGAAAAAATATGGTAATATACACTCAAATAGTTAAATAGCCCTTAAACTCCGAATGAGGAGATTTTGAGATGGTGGAGAAGATTTGTAGCTCAGGTAGATGATTTTGATGGAGTTTTGTTCTCTCAGTTGAATGGTTTAGTCGTGGCACTTTCATTGTTCATCTAAACGACATCATCATCCGCACAAACTTCAGGTAGAAATGAAGTGTTCGAATTTTTCTGTATGTGCTTCATAGCTTGTCTTGTAGACCTCCACGTTGATTGATTGGCCTTAAACTTATCATTGTTTACTTCCAAAAAATAAAGTAAACGATGACAGCTTTAAGGTCAACCAATCAGCATCGAGATCTGCAAGACAAGTTACGAAGGTGAGACTATAATTTATGGACGACCTTTGAGCGACGCCACTGTGACCTTTAGAGTGTCCACCTAATGAATAGGACCAAGTGAGGGTTATATATTGATTTGAGGAATTCGAATTATGATTTACAGTTGATGGTTAGGGTTAGGAATTACATTTAAGGTTCTCACCACGAACTGACGTCAACTGCAATATCAGAATAGCTCGGATAGCCTAGTGGTAACGTCTCGGGCTGTGAAGCTGGGTGACACGGGATCCAATCCGTCAGGGAGCACCGATTTCCTCAAGATTATAGGTATACCTTGCTTACGAGTGACAAGTAGCACGAAATCCGGGTTCAGGGTTTCCTTCAACCACCAACTAACCTCAACATAGTGCACGCAATGTCGAATCACCTAGACTGGTGGCCACATTGCAACCTGGTCGATAGCATCCGATCTGCACTAAATAAGGACTTGACACACATGACATTGGTCACCACCCAGTGATCAATCACTCATGACATCAAAACTCTGTTTAGCCGAATAGATGCGTGAATTTCTCGCCAAAGCCCGAGATTTTGTTATCATATACCTGATTGATTCGTCCATAAATTAATCTCAGTGATGTGAACTACATGTGGATAAATTCGAACTCTTCACTTCTAGTTGAAGTTTATACTGATGATTTCATTCAGAAGAACTGATGAAAGCTCCACGATCAAACCATCGAGCTCAAAGAACAAAACTCCATCGAGATGAGGAAATTTCATTAGCAAATTCAGTATTTACTAACTGATTATACAGAGATGTGAAAAATGATAGATGTTTGAATAAAGCACTCCATTAGTTGAAGTTATAAACGGCTTCTCTGATAGTAGAGAATAAAGTTAATATCATTATGAGGGTTGTGGAGATTACTAAGTTTTTGATTAAGATCATGAACCAATTGATGTTAAACCACCATCGAAAACCTGGAAGCACTGGACGTCCGTTTCTTCCTATTGTGGGACGATTGTAGCGCGATTTCGTGGATTCGTTGAGGTTAGACATTAACACCGTTAGATGTCAACCAATTAAATGGTCTAGAGATTAAGCGTTCACAGGCGAGACTGAAAACTTTGGGTTCGAATCCCACGAGGGGGGATCGTGAATGCCCACTGCTGAGGAGTCCTACAATAGAACGAAACGGCCATCCAGTGCATCCAAGTTTAATCGTTTCATGATGTCAATCAAAAAATAAAGTTATTCTATTTACATAAATCTAATCAGTATGAATTCTTATTAGATTTTACATTAACAAAAACAAAAACATTTCATTTCAATTCATCAAGGCTCAACCATACTTTATACCATTTCAATATCATACAAATGGAACAGCGAATTTTTTAGCAAATTTTAATAATCCATTCGATGCTCAAACTGCAGTACATTATTGTCCAAATGGTAGTTTAAGATCAAATAAATATATAATAGGTGCAGCTTGTTTAATACCATCAACTAATACAAACAATGTCAATTGCATAACTTCATCATCATCATCATTGTCATCATCACCAATAGTGCCTATTCATACAACTAATATACTAAACTCTAATCATTTAATAAACACTTCAAATTTCTTAAATTATGATTTTATCAATTCAGGGATTTTTCTTTTACCATCAACAACTTCAACAATTCAACACAATAGATTACAATGAAATACAGATTTTCTTGTTGCTTATACCCTACGTTTACATTACAAACTACGTTTGTGCTTATATATATATATATATTCCCCTGTCTTCCTATCAATTGAATAGTTTGCTTTAATTTCTTAATGAACAAATCATTTGTACACACACACACACACACACACTTTTTTCCCCCCAATTTGTGTATAGTTGAAAGTTGTACTAGGGATAATTTGTTACAATTCAGTTATTTTTCTAATCACTTTGTTTGTTTGTTTTCTCTTTCTTTATATTTATGTATATTCTAAAATAACATTGAAGTGTTTTTTTTAAAAAAAAAAGAAGATTAAGTTTTGTTTACTTATTGACTAACTTATGGCCTGTTGACCCCGGTCACGTATGCTTGAACACCGATTACCACGACGTGCAATGCTAACCGGTGTTGGAGATGATTAGAAGAAAGTTAAGGGATGCCAAACCAAAATGTGGCATCACTCACTGAAGTCACTAACTTCTAGTCTGAGCCATGTTGGTAGATGCAGATTACTTGGGTGGGGTCCGCGTGACTATCGTAACCAATGGTTGGAGACTCTTGGTGACATGGCTCAGAATCGATCACAATGGCGTCGGTGTATACACTCTTTGTCTTCCTTTAAATTGAGATTAAAATCGCTTCATATCTTTCTTTTGACCACCTAATTCTTTCTTCCTGTACTATATTCTTATTGCAATCATTCTTTTATATATTACCACCATTGAATTAACTACTTTTATGAATCCGGTGTTCATCTTGTTGTGTTAATGAGGTATGACAACCTGGTCCTACGTTGTAGCTAATTGGCTGACCCGGGTTTCGACACCATGGAGTATACAGGCCTTCAATCTGTGATGGTTGAAAATGGATACTAAAATGTACTAAAATTAGATATATGCCTCGATTTACTACTATCTTGTTTTAATCATATATCTTTCAATATCTTTATCAGTTAGTTTGATTAAGTAAAACAGATAAAATTGTAAGTCACTATGTTATTGGATTGTTATCTGATGTTACGTTCATCGAAGTGTGTAAATCACCTAATCGAGATTTGTGCTTAGTCGATATTCACAAGGCAACAATTTGTCTTTATTGAATAATATACAAAAAACTAGTTACAAATCTCAACTTGTGAGGTATCTATGGCGTTTACCGCTTCTTTTTGTGTGAAATAAAAAAAAGGCTCCGATAGTGCGAATTGACAACCGTTCTTTGTGCCTAAACTGTTTAACGGTTTATCAACAAGCAAAAATCAAACTAAAAGCAAGCAATATGGAAAATGTTACGTTTAAACAAGGATCAAACGACTGCATAAAATTGTCAACAACTGCTACCATGATTAAGATAAAGTGATTATAATGATAAATATAATAAGTGTTATAAGCATATGTAACTACTTCAGAATAATTACACGACAAACTTCCGTTGCTAGGGTTACAACTACTTACTGAATATTAATAAATAATATAAAACAATATTGAAAAGAGTCGAAGGGAAATGAATAAGGACAGAGAATGTAAAACGGACTTGACATCTACAATCTCATTACCAATAATATTCCAGTATATTTCATTACTGAACAAAGCCCACAATTCCCCAATTGTAAGTTAAACCAAAAATAGATGACTAAAACAATATTATGTAAACCAAATTACAAATGTAATTCAGTTTAAATAAATACTTACAACTTTAAATATTACACTTAAAAGAAAAGATGTAATATCAGTTCTTATATGAAACTTTGCATATTTGTGATATAATTTAGTTGAAAGAGTAAAACCTCAGATTTATTTGGAACAATGGATAGAGGATTTCTAGTTCACTTTATGTTGTCGAAAATTTTAAGCAATCTATATATATGTATATATAGGACAATGTTAAGTCTTAGGTATGGATTCCTTTATTAGACGTTGAGCAATATTTATCAAGTTTTGTACAGATTTGAAAGTTATAACTTATCATCTTTATTTTCATGTTTTTCCCATGGTATTGAATAATAAATCAGCTAACTCGCTAGAAAATGCACAATTTTGTGCTCTCAAAAAACAAATCAGAACCCCAGGTAGCAATATGTGTGGTTACAAGTAATTTAACTGTTGATGTTATCGATTCATGTTATCATACATACAGGGTGCAAGACTTGTTTGTTAAAGACGGAAAGCGTCTTCTATTAGTACTTCATCCTCGATAATTCGTAAGGAATATCAGAATACAGCTTAAATGGAGGACTCCAAACTCGTGTTTTTTATGTCTTTTATAAAGACAGATGCGGCCTGAAAGTAACTTAAGTCTTTAAACATGAAATGATCAATGAGAAAGCATCTTAGACCTAAGAGCTGCAACAGTGGATCATCAGTTGAGTGAAAGGAGCGAAACACTAACAATGTTAATAATATATTTACTAAATAAGATCGATATATCTTTGTTGACTGTCATGTAGATAAGTATCCTCGAAAGTAAAGGTGAATTTCGGTATAAAAACAAAACAAAACATAATGTCGTAAAATGTTCACAAAAATTGTACCACACCGAATTAGTGCAGACCAGAATTAAGGGACTTCATTCACAAAAATATATTAATCAGTGCAATACCAAGCTGTAAACAAATGGTGGGTTTGACATGCTGCTAGTAAAACAACAGGTCTGATTTACAACAGCTTTGTAAACGCTGCTATATAGCAGTTAAATTAATTAAAAAACTCACCGTTCAATATGGTCTTATGATGCCTGGGCGATGTTGATCCACCCTATTCAAACCGAGTAAGACCAGGAATCGACAACTATAACTGCTAGGACAGTACTTTTCGTAGAATCAAAAACGGATGGCTAACCAGTGTTATGGCATCTAGTTCAATGAAAACAAAAGTCAGTGATGTTTATTAACTATCACTGTCGGTGCAGCCTATTCTGAGATTTTGGAGGATTATCGCCTAGTTCAATATTAGTATACTTATCTTGGCTACCGAAAAAATGGTCCTTATCCCAAAAACGTAGATTTGTTATGATATGACTATCTAATCTATGAGATCTTGTATGGAAGTCACATCATTGTCTTTACCCACTCGGTCAGTAGAAACACTTAGCACAATGATGGTTGGCACTTACGAAGAACATGTTTGTGCTGGGGTAAAATAAAATATTTAATACGAACTACACAGTAAATACGTCTTCCCATCCAAGCCATTCTATTTCGACTATTTCGTCATTTTTGACCTCTTGGTGTTACATGTTGAGTATACATCCTCTCAGTAATTGTGTCTTCGGCTTCAAAGATCTTGTGGTTAGCAACCAATGTTAATGCAATTTAACTGGTTTGATAACACCTAAACTTAGGAGTCACTCGAGTTCTTGCTCAACTACAGGGAGGAGAGCAAAGGTATAAATCTTCTGGATGGGAGCACTGGCTTCCGTCCCTGTAGAAAGGCATGAGTAGCTTCAGATTTAGTGCGTTCGTATGTAAAGACTTATCATCCATGAGTCGTACAAAAAGGCTAGGAGCTTAAAGTCAACCCAAACTGAACTTGGATGTTGGCGAGAAGGACCCAAAAATTACAAATTTTCGGATGGTGAGGCTCCGGCAGAGAGTCACTTTGCGTGTAGCACAAAGCCATTTAGTTGATCCTCGGATCTAACACACAAATCTGTGGATCTTGCTCAGAGAGCAATCGAAACTAGGCGTACAAATGTACTCTAGCAATCCGGATGTAGTCGCAGTCACGAAAACTTGGCTGATGCAGTCATTAGACAGTAGAGAACTTCATTTTGGAGGTTTCACATCAGTAAAAGCCGCCAGAATTTAGAAGCATAAGGGATGAGTAGCTATGATTAGAAGAAAAACTACCCTATTCACCGTTAATTATAAAACATCCCATGTAAGTGGGACGTGTGGTTTAGTTAGTTTCCGCTTGAAATTGAAAGGAAAAGAGCTGATGATCGGTTAGGTCTTCTGCAGTCCAGATTGCAAGGTGAATGAGTTCTTGCTAGATGGTTCCAACGCTTAGTCACAAAGTGGTTGATGCTTAATCTTAGAAGACTTTATAACACCTACTGTATGTTGGAAAAATCTGATAACTGAATTGTCAGAAAATTTCTTCGAACAGGAACTAGTTGTTGCGGTCAGCATATGTACTTTGGTGCAACATATGAAAAAAGCAACTGGGTACGACTTGGACTCCGAATCATCGTTACAAGACCTTATATCGGGACATTATAAGAATGACGTCAGAAACCTTGACTACATGCCACCCCTAGGTAAAAGTGATCATGCAGTTCTAGTCGTCGATTCCCATGTAGCTGTCAAAAATTAACATCCACGAGCCTAACCCGGACCTAACGTCTGGAAAGCAAATATAAAAGATATTATATTATTGGAAACTACAGTCAGAATTTCAGTTGAAGCGGCTTGGGATGAATTTGGAAATATATACTGAAAAGTCACTGCACATCTACCGTTAAATGCTTTTAGGTATATTGTGATAAAGATTGGTCATCAAGGTGTAGTGACTCACATTTATCACGAGAACACGACTGGTTTAATAAAAACAATTATTATTATAACCAACTGTACCAGTGTTTGTTTTAACGTGCTTTTGTTTGACTGTGCTAATGACAGCTATTTTGTGCTGCCATTGATATTCACACCCTTTGATTGTGACTTCGTGCGAATTCGGTTACGTTCTGTAACCAAGCTTGTATCCTCGCACGATCTCGGTATCCTTTCGATACCACGAGATCGCCAACAAATACATATCTCGATTTGGTCCATTAATTGCCTTCTGGTATTTGGCTTCTCGGAGATTTTATGGATTCCTTTGGTTACGTTCAACCTACGCCTTCTGATTTACCTGGCACGTGTTTCTTGGTAGCGGTGTTCATAGTTAATCACAACTCGACGCCACGCTACAAAGGTATGATACGTACACATTGAATGAAATTTGGCCACCTGTTGTCCAGACACACAATGACTCAAGAGTCATCGTTAGCTAAGGCTTAAAGGCTACTGCACACTGTCATACGACAGCCACCGAAGGTTTTATAACCCTACGGTCAATACGTAGTTCTTTAGCCATGTCTATGTTAAAACCTTTTTGACTTTGTATCCACTATTCGTTTGTCTTAAATTCTAACACTGTGTACAAGAGGACAGCCTCTGCCTGAAAAGAGACAGTGAGCTGTCGGAGAAAGTACGAAGAACTTCATGTTATCTGATCCCGGATTAGCGAAAATCCTGTATGATGATCGACTGGTTAAATTAAGCTTATTTACATTATCATGTAGATGAACCAGAAGCGACTTGATCACAGTTTTTACATTATTTGGTGACAAC